GCTGGAAATTCCTGAGCCTTAAATTGATCTCTTGTGCAATTGAAGAGATAGAAAATTCCCTAGCACAGGACAAGGGACATATGAACTGCAAAGACTTTGTGTAAGAGGTAAAAACAAAATGGAAGACTAGAAAGAACTGAAAATGAAAATACCTTTTTCAAAGAGAGTAACATCTCAGAAAAATCTGTAAAACCATAGAATCATTGAGTATGTGATACTGTAAGACATTCCAGTCTTATCTTTGTGCTTTTTAGGTGGGGAAAGTGAGGCTAAGAGAGGAAAAGAAGTGTACCCCAAACTACACAGCAAATGACTGAGCAAAACTGTGTGTCCTGGGTCCTTTTCTATTGTTATGTGCCTTTTCTAGACAGCAAAAACATGGGTTAGTCAGGGGTGCATTGTGTAGAATCAAATGAAATAAGGCAGACAAGTGTTTAGTTCATGGCATGCTTAAAGAAGACCCATGCTTGGAATAAAGGTTATTTATTTATTTTACATTTTTATTATGGTTGGAATCAAACCCAGGTCCTCATGCAACATAGGCAAGTGTTTTACCAACTGAGCTATATATCCAGCCCAATTCGTTTTTAAGGCCTTGCAAACTTAAGTTTTCCAGTGCTGTGCTCAATTCCTTGTTGGTAGCAAGTGGAGGCAACATTCTGAATGCAACCCAGGCAGCATGCAGACTTACACTAAAAGGATTGTTATGGAAAGGGACTTACAGTCCATCTACCATGATTCAATTTCTGTTTGGTTAAAATAGACTGTACATTGGAAAATTTACATAGGTTAATAACAAGAAGAAGTTGAGTCTGTGTGCTCTTTCTCTAGGGAAGGGGTTGGATGAAGCTCGAACATCTGAATCCCTGGCAGCTCCGTGGACACTGGGGAAAGCCCTTGTGTTGGCTGCCTCTCCTCTTCTGCAGATGGAAATGAACTCATTGGAAAGGAGAATGCCTTTGAAACTTTTTAGAGCTGCTTAGCCAGGAGAGTTACTGCTAAAGACCAGGACAACTTATTTCCATCTTACAGATGCGCAGTTGGCTAACAGCAGTTGGCCCTGCCCCATTAAATTAGCCTCCACTCTCAGTAGCTTGTTGAAAGAATTGCTGGAGCTCTGCTTCATTGCTCCTTGGCAGGCAGTTTAGTAGAACTCTTTGTTAGCAAGTGCCAAGATAGAACACTGAGACTTAGAATTAAGCCTGCTCAAAGCCCCTTGGCTTCTGTGGACTGATGGTTTTATTTATTTAATTATTCATTTTTTTCCTTTGGCACATTCCATTGTAAAGACCAGGACCAATTGTGAATCAAGAACTCTTATTTGCTTATTTACTTAATGTTTTTCTATTCTCTTTTTACTGGGTTCTAGAGACCCAGTGACTTAAATGGATCACGGCATTTCATTTCTGTGCACATCTGAGTTGCTTCCTTTTTAGCCTAACTTAATGAGATGTAAAGGATCCTACAGACTCATACTTAGGAAGGTTAATGTTTCTGGCTGGTGAGAATCTGAATTGTAAAACAGCCTAGATAAACTGGGGCTGTATGGTCAGTTTAATGAGGTAGAAAGAGGACTGGCCACTGTCAAGCATCACTGACAATCACTGGGGCTCTGTACCTTTCCCTCCACCACATTGGCTATAGATGCTGGAAAGAGAGTCAGTATAGCTGGTATAAGTCTGTTTCATTTCAAGGTCATGAATAGGTATTGCAGTTGATTTTTCTTTCCATTGAGAAACTCCCAGAGAACATTTTTGGAAACGATCCAGAGGAGGAATATTTTAAGAGTGCCAAAGTCACTAAGTCAAAATATTTTAAAATATTGGTCTGTGAGGTATAGTTCTAGACATGTTTCTGCAGGATTAGCAAAATGTCTTGGGACATTTACTTCAGCTGGCTTTGACTTTCCATGGGGGGCTGTTCTTGGCAAAACTCAGGAAGAAAAAAGGCTGAGAAAATATTCTTTGTACTTCACTGTGCTTTGGTTTTAATGTACACATGCACAGATGGAATGAGAATGAAGCAAAGAGTAAAGATTTTTAAAAAATCATCCAGTGAAGTTTTCCTCAGTGCCTACTTGGTGCCAGACGTTGGAGAAAGAGTAGTGAACAAAGCACAGGCTCTGCTCTTTTGGGCATATGTTGTATTGAGGGAGGACGGAAAGCAAGCGAGCAAATATATTTCTGGTAGTGAAAAGAGATACACAAAAATGAAGTATGGGAGGAAGGAAAAGAAGAAAGAGTTTGGATTATCCTCTTTTTTTTTTTTTTTTTTTTTTTTTTTT